GTTACCAAATATATATATATCAAACTGTCACGCGAACAATAAAATTTATCAGATTGTCGCGCGTTGAAGTTAGCTACGACTGCTAACGAACTTGGTAGCCAATGATTTCTTGACACGTGACACACTTTCGCTGGGAAAACTGACTGCCACATGTCCAAGTTCGCTATGAGTGGGAATGAACTTGAAAACCAATGATTTTGTGACATGTGACACACTTTCATAGGAAAAGCTAACTGGACTAAGTTTGTTATCTAGGGTAGCGAACTTGGTATGCTATATGGCACAATCTGGTTTTCTGAACATAATTAATGTACCAATCACAATCAAAAAAAGAAAATGAAGGAAAAATGTCTATTTAATTAATGTACGAATGAGCCGGGTTGGGTTAAGAAAAATGAGTTAGTAACTCGAGTCAGCCCGACTCGTTTCAACTCAAAAAAATCGAGCTAACCCACGGGTCAAACGGGTTGGCTCGCGGGTTATGCTTTTTTTTTAATATAAAAGTATAAAAATTATTGAAGGTAAAGTAGAAAGCTAAAACCTAAAATTCCAATTCCAAAGACCCAAACAAAAATACCCTGCAGCTGCCAATAAGTCCAAAACCGTGCATTAAGGACATTTTTTATAGTATGTGTGACAGTGTAAATATGGTGTCGACTGCCAATAAGTCCAAGTCTAAATGCAAAATTTTCTATGGTTTATTTGTATAATGTCTTTGGCTTAAATGAATTAATAATTTAGAAAAAAATTAAAAGTTATAACATCAATGAAATTTTATTTTATTTTTCATTTTTTCGAGTCAACTCGCGAGTCAACCCTAACCCGACTCGGGTCGGGCTGGGTTGAATTTTCTAGCTCTTTTATTTTTTGAGCCAACCTTAACCCTGCTCTTTTTTTTCGGGTTAAACGCGAGTTGGGTGAGGTTGACCCATTTTGCCAACCCTACTAGAAAACTTAGTTCAATCAGCTTTTTCTAAAAAAAAAAAAAAAGTGCCACGTAATACGGTTCGCTCGATATGTTGCCCTAGTCACTGTTCCACAGAAAATGGGCTCGCTTCTCGCAGCTTCTGGCCACACCACACGTTAATAAGTAAACACTTTTTCAATCTGAATACTATCACTCACCTCACGCTACCACGGATCGAGAGATGGATCCTTCGGCGTCGGCGCCGCTACCGACGGTGAGTCAGCTAGATCAATGGATGGTGGAATCGCAGGTGTTTCAGATTTACCAACTCTTCGCCACCATTCCTCCCAACGCCCAATCCCTCACGTCAGTCTCAGTCTCACTCACACCTCTTCTTCATTCTCAAATTTTGCTATATCGTTTTTCTGATTCGATTTTTCTTCTCTGTCGTAGGTTGGAGCTGCAACGCGATAAAACACATTGAGTTCCTTTGCAAAGGTCTCCGCCATCTCGGTTCCGCCTTCTCCGTCTTGAATGCCAAGTCTCTCTCTCTCTCTCTCTCTCTGTTGTTCTGCAATTTGTATGAGATACTTTCATATTATCAGTGACGGACAGGGAGATTAGCAGCTCTCGGTACCAGAATCCAACCGATTCTTTGGGTAGCCCAAAACTCTTTGCAAGGGATTCTTTCACCAGATCCAAATGATAAACCACAATAAATGGTCGGGTTTTCACTTGGTTCAATTCTAATCAATATGGGATTTATTTCATCATTGCTCATACTTGATTATTTTCATCATTCTTTCCAATATCATGTTCAAGTGTGAAGCCCAATGTCATGTTCCGGAAAAACTTCTACCAAATTTTTCTCTTTTTGAGTATTGGAATCACGTTGACTTTCTGTAAGGCCTCTTCAATTGCATAACTATGTCCAAATACTCAACCCAGCTAAATCGTTGGTTCTGATAGCATTGTTAAGAATGTTATTGGGAGCCCAAAACCCTTATAGTTCCATCACTATTCATTTTTCTGTCTAGCCTCTTCGTTAACAAATGTATCATCCTTCTTTTTATGTGATTCAGTGTACATTTATGCTCTAGATATCGGGTGACCTAACTCAATTTGCATCTCTGTTCTCCTTCTAGCAATTGATTTTGACCCTAAAGTATGTGGGATTGTCTGTTTAGCTCCATTTGCAATATTCTTTTCTGCAATTTCCTTTGTTTCCGATCATTTTTGTATTGCAAAAAAGAAGCCCATTGTTCTCTTGGAATACCCTTTTGGATCAACACTCCCCATCTGTGTCTCTGTTTGCCATATGCTACTTTCTTCGAAGCCGCCACTTGTTTCCTCCCTTACGTTCTCTGCATCTTCTCTGCCAAACATTGACAGGCTAAGTTTGATGTCAGCACTGATGAGCATAAAAAATATATCATGATGGATATTGGTAAGAAATGGAAAGATAACCGAGCAAGGTTGTGGAGCTTGTTTCGTAAGAGTGGCATGAGCTTTGAACAAGGTGTTCATCCAAAAGGGTATTCCAAGAGAACAATGGGCTTCTTTTTTGCAATACAAAAATGATCGGGAAACAAAGGAAATTGCATAAAAGAATATTGCAAATGGGGCTAAACAGACAATCCCATATACTTTAGGGTCAAAATCAATTGCTAGAAGGAGAACAGAGATTCAAATTGAGTTAGGTCACCCTATATCTAGAGCATAAATGTACACTGAATCGACGTGTGATGGAACTATAACTGAAGAAGAAGCTTATATCATGTTTTTGGGAAGGAGCACCCAGGACGTGCTATTTAGTTTTTCTGTTTGTTATCGCTCAGTTCTGTTATATGTTGCAAGTAGTATTACTCTGTATCATGTTATTAATTTTTGAATCAATAAATAACATTCAGATTCTCATCTCCTTTTTCTGAATTCACTATTTTATTGGGGCTTCTATTAATTTTCTTCTCACATGGCCAACCAGCTTATGCGAGATTTTACCATATTTCTTTCAATAGGTGTTACCCTTACTTTCTGGTTAATGAATTCATAATCTTGTCTTATATGTCCATTCATTTATTACAACATCCTTGTCTATGCCACACTGATCTTGTTGACTTTTCACGCCCAATGTCAATTACTAGAAAATATTGTTGGTCTTAATAGTATTTTCCCCTTGTAGTAATTGGACTCGTCCAACTGATTAGGTCGTGGCTGAGAAACCAATATACCTATGAGTAGGGATGCTTATGGAACCATTTTTTGAAACACAGACTCGACTTTACCCGATCATTCTGTGAGGTAGGACGAAGCTAACTTGATATTTAAACAAAGAAAATACAAATTAGCCATTATGTATAGCTATTTAATAAAATTTTACAAATAAGAAATTAGTATTACAGAATGTTTTACAAAACATATCTTGAAACAAATTATATCAATACAGAAACACTATAATGCTATGTGAAATATATTTATAAGTTGGACCAACCCAAAGCATTACCAAACCTAACCTAAAAATACAAGAAATCTATTTTTCATGACTTGAATCAAACTCAATTATCTTTGGGCCAGAGTGGGTCTCCGGGTCATGAGCGGCCCTACCCATTAGTAAATTGGGGTGCCTTTAAGCGAGTTTGTTTATGGGTTTTATTAATCTCATGCAATAGAAAAAAAGTTCTCTCATGCTATACACATAATTGAGTTTTATTATTCTTATGTTATATGAGAAAGAATTTATTTCCTATCCATACAAATTCAAGATGGGTTCCACTCTATTTTTTTTTCTCCTCTTGAAGATGGACCCCACCTACGTAAATGAGTCTGCAAGAGATAATAGTTATCTCCTACTGCATGAGAAAACTATTACCCTACATAATCATGTGTGAGACACACCTACTTATAAAAGAAAAACACAAATAAATATTATGTGTAAGAGAGAAAAATACTCTCCAACAATATGAGAGTATATTTGTCCAATGTTTATAGACAATTTATGATCAAATCAAAAACCTTATACGACATCTTAACCCCACTTTGACTCCGATTCTCATTATCCAATTCTTTGGCAGAAAACGCCTCAACGATGTCAGTGGCCCATTAAACTGAAGACATTTATCACCCTTGACGAAACAAACAGTAGTTGACTATCACCATGGATTAGGATATTACCTTCCACGGAAGATCCCTACCAAATTCCACGCCTTCCTTCAGAAAAAGGTCATGGCCAATCTTCAAATCTTAGACTCTTGAATGCACAATGAAATACAAGTTGTAGGGTCTTTGTAATGTTAAGACAAACCCTAATATCAAGGATTGTCAAGCAAGAAATGTTAAACAGCAACCAATGAAAATTTCACATCATATTAATGATCCACATGGACCTGTTGCAGTAGCCAGAGAGATATGTAGAAAATAGTAATTGTCACCCCCTTATTTTTTTTCACGTTAACGACAAGATCAAACTGCAATGTAACGGAAGGATCACTTTGGAAGATTAAAAATTGTTTGGAAGACTAATTCATAAAATATTAAAAGCGGGACCAAATAAAAATAGAATTTGGTGTTTGTGATTTTAAATGACACAAGTTATGTCATTTTAGAAGAGAGATACACACAAGAAATAAAAATCATAGAGAAGAGAGTGAGTGATTTTTTTTTTAATTTAAATTTTAAATAAAAAATTATATTTTGTGTCTATATCTCTCTTAAAATAACATAACCTTAGGTCATTTAAAATGACAAACACTTTTCCAAATATCACGGTATTTAGAGGGCAAAAATATATTTTAGCATAATTATAGATTGATAGCAATAACAAAGGCGTATGATAAACAGACTAGTGTGTTTTCTATACCCTTGAACAAGGATGGAAGATGACGGGCGATATATCTAGTGTGCAGCTTAAATGAAATGGGTGAACCATGTAGGACTACGCTTGAATGGAGTGAAAATGAATAAAAGGAAAATAAGAAAGTGAAAAATGACTCTGCATAAATGCAATAAAGTCTACTTTTTCTTTTTCAACAGCCAATTTTTACTCCAATCAAGCAGACACTTTCGATGAGTCGTCTTCAGACAATTCTGTGGTACGCACATGGAAGAACGAACGATCAACAGGTTTCACCAAGTTTGAAACCCTAAAGCTCGTAGTTCCAATATTCAGCAGGAGTACGGGAATTTAACAAAACTTTGTATTTGTCAACACTCACAGTGTATTCCACAAGTTACATAAAATCTACATAATTACTAAAAGAGAGCAATCTGTGCAACAAAATTCATTTCTTTACTGTTTACACCGGTATAAGAAAATAAATAACCAAGTTTGCATAGGATCCCTGAATTCTGGATCAAGGTCCACAAAACAGGAATTCATCAATCATTAGTTGTCATTGTAGCTCTTGCAAATTCTTCAATCTAGTCGCTCCATCTACAATGTAGTATAGAAAAGGGATAATGACAATATATTGCAAATCAGCGGAAAATATACTATCGAGCACTGAGTGGAGGATGTAGAATTCAGGAGAAAAAAAAATGTTTTGCTTTAGAAGCAGGATTTAGCTTTCAATGTGTAAGACCAAAAATTGATATTGTTCAGATTAACAAAATAAAGAAAGAAAGAAAGAAGAAAGCCATGGTATTTATTGCTGATACTACATCAAAGAACATAAATATGAGCATTATATATACTTATTAATAATGATACAAATAAGAAGAAAAACATATATCCATCAATACCTTCCAAAGACCATCATTGAGATAATGCAAGTTGTCGACCCCAATTCCCTTGTTGATTGCTTTTCTGAAACCTCGAAAGCAATTGAACTTCTTGAGTACAACAATAAACCAAGGAAGATGAAACTAGGCAAGCAATGAATTCTATTCTTTCTGCATTAGCCCCTTTAAGTTTTATTCTTTAATAAAAAGTTATGCTAAGGCATAGATGCAGCAACATTGTTATTAGTGGCGGTTAAGTTGACGTTTCAGCTTTAAACCTGAGGTAGAATGTTGAATTTTCAGCTGAGCTAGGGCCAGTTACCCACTACAAAGATATAGGTTTGCCCTTCATGTCTTGATCATTTTGTACCAAAGACCATTAAATCATTAATAGGAGAGTTGTGTAACATGCTAACGACTACCATAGTTATCTAAGAGGTGAGTCATTCACTCCGTACTTCACTAGCTGAGATGTTAAAGCTATTTCCAACATTGCAGAACTAAATTTTTTTAGGTGCGGTGCTAAATTACACACTCACGTAAACACTATAAAACATTCAAAGAGGGGTCAGAATTTATCTATTTGAGGGAATTTGCTTTAAAATTTATACATAGCAATCAAGGAAAAAAATTGTTTGGGGTGCAATCCCCACCCACACAAGTAGGTCCAACCCTTATTGCACGTGAAGGGTGGGGCTGATAATGAGATATAGCATAATACGTTATTTATATCAATATTTCTCTTGAATGTTCATCAATGTCAGGCAGAGAATAGAATAATAAAAGAGAGAATATCTGACAGAGTCTCCATTTATTTAGGGAAAAATTCATATTTATGTCATTCACCATTCATGTCCAGTCAAAAGAAGAGATAAGACAACATTCTTACATGTCTTTTGCTGACATTTTTGTAAAGCCAATAGCAAGAGCATGCTGTTTTCCTTCAGCCATGATGGCCTGAGATCAGATAAATAAATGGTGTGATGAAAGTTAATATAAATTGACTAGACAATGCTTACTTTGTGCATTACAATCAATATACAAAAAATAATGGCAATACCACAGGACTTTCTGCATCCACTTCCTCATCCAAAGCACCCCCAGGAGATGTAAGACCAGGACACATTATGTTTGCACCCGCCAAGACAAATTTTATTGCACCGCGATCAACTTGTAATTTCTTCATTATATTTGGATCTATAAAATTAAAAGCAATAATACAATTCACATGCAATGCTATATAAGAAATGACTAAGTGCAGACTACATAATGTCTATCTGTAAGCCTATCAACTCTATTGAAGCTAAGTGCTTTTGAGCAAATCATTGGGAGTAAAACGACAAATGATAAATAACTAATTCACTTCCTGGAATCCTGCACTTAAATATGGGGATGTACGTGATGGCCAGAGTGAGAAACTGGTACCAATAAGGCAACAACAATGGTTTGTTCCCCCTCCCTCTCTCCAAATTCACATTTTTTCCTTTTTTCATCCTATTCCATATGAAGTTTATCTATACTGCAGGAAAAAAATATTACCAACACAACCATATATAATCTATGGATTAAAAGGTTTGAGGAGTGCAAATAGGAGGAAAGTTTTCTAAATTTTCAAGGGATCAGTGGAATCTAACAAGTAAATATCAGATCATCAATAGATGAAGAACCATATGATCTTCATGTTCCCTCTTCAGGATAACTAGCAAAGCTATTAGATGTGATTCAAAAATTCCCACGGCTCCTATAACTCAACAAAACAACAGTAAGAGTTTAATATTTCATTATAAGTTGAACTGTTGATCTGGATTCTGGAACACTCCAACATTATAAGCATAAAATGAGCCAATAAACCACATCAATAAGGATGTTCCTGACTTCTTACAGCAATATAATTTGACCCCACCACCAAACTTCCATCACCAGGCTCGAAAGAAAGATGCACAAAAAGGAAAGAAAAAAGCCTAGGTCAATTGCATATGAGTCAGGATAATCAAATCAATCAGAACTTCGGTTCTCCTCGTCGCCTTTGGCATGCAATTGTATAGTTGAAGAGTTAGAATCCAATTAATTACCATTGTTATTTAATCTCAGTACACCAGTTTTTAGAAACTGATCTCATCCAATCATTGGATGCACCAAGCAAAACTAGCAACTGCAATTTTTCCCTATAATGTATTTCAATATCCTTGTAATCATACGAGTTGAACCCCAAGTCAGTTGCATCCTATATTAGTTTACTAAGCACACATGCATTATTGGACTAGAAAAGGTAAGCAGTCAAATTACAGCTGCAAAATATTTATAAATCATTAACTATTACCTTTTCAAAGATGAAAGAGTATTTTAGACAAGTTAAAAAATGCAAGAAATATAAACTTTACATTGATGGAGAAGTCGCAAGGTGGGCATGTAAGGTCCATCGCGGACACTGAAAAACAAAGGCACGTTGTTCACTAGAACAAGATTGAGATGGTTCTGACTACAAGAACAAGGGAAAAAGCAACCAGTTAGCAGCCATAAAAGTTATAGCGGCATAAAGCACAACAAAAAAGAATCACAAACAAACCATTTAGCAACTATAAGAGGGGACTTCTTGGGAAGTATATCATCCAACGCTGATTCAAGGCCAGGGTACTGCAGTGGAGTGAGTGAGGTTAGTGTCATAAGTAACACAAATCGACGGGTAACAACAACGAAATACATATTTTGTTGAATTTGTGTTATTTACGGTTAAAAATCTATAACAAAGAGCCAATCCTAAAAGTCACATCACCTCTTCTGCGATGCTTTGCCGAATTTTTCGTTGAACAGACGCCTTCACTTGGTTCTGAGCAGACACATCTTCAGATGAAAATCTGAAAAAAAAAAAAATGTTGACATGCAAATCTAAAGATACATATTGAAAAATCAACATTACAATAACAATTGTAGTGGCCAACAATAAGATCACATTCATAGAAAATATCAATGAAATAGCGCAAGCAACACATTCGTGCATAGAATCATTGAGCAATTGGGGGAAGGAAGGTAAATGAAAAAGTGAGCATTAGGGGTTCCGATACCAAATTAAATAAATATTTTAGGGTTTAGGGAACCACTCCCACCAGCAACGGTGAATCACATCAGAAAAAAAAATAAAAAAGAAAAAGCAAGTGGTGAATCACATCAGAATCTAGAAAGTGTGGTTTTTTAGATATGCATGTAGAGATAGTGAGCGTACTTTTTGAACATCTTCTGCAGCGTTCAGCTGGAAGAGAAACTTTGAAGTGAGTCTGAGTCTGTGTCTGTGTCTGTGACAGAGAAATTGTAGAGAGAGATAGAGAGAGAGAGAAAAGAAAGAGAGAGAGAGAGAGAGAGAGAGAAGAAATGCAAACGCAACCGAGCTTCTCTCACTGCTTTCTGTATTTGGACCATTGTGGGCCTTCCCTATAATTTTTGTTTTGGTGATACGCTCTTCTCTATTCTAGGTCTAGGCCCAATACAATTGTCAACACATGAAGCTTTTATGGGCCAAGACCTATGATTTCTTTTTTTTTTTTGGAGGTTAGACCTATGATTTCTAGAGTGAATTTTGGGTACCACCATTGTAGGTATAATCTTTCTTCATTTAGAAAATAATAAGGGTATAAAGGTAAATAAATAAAAAATACAGGATACATATTAGGGGTGTTCGCGGTCTGAATTGGATCGGTTTTGGAAAAAAAAATCATCTGATCCAATCCCTTCAGTTTGATCATGTAATCATCCATTCGGTTTGGATTTTTTTTAAATCCAATCCAATCCAATTTTTTTCGGTTTGGATTGGATCGGTTTTCAGTTTTTTGAAAATTCTAAAATTTGTTTCATGGTTATTGTGCAAATAACATCTTTTGTATAATAGGCTTTGTAATTTTTTTTTTGAAATAGAAAAACATCAGTAAACGATAATATAGTTTTTTTTTTTTTGCAATGAGATATGAAGCTTTACACAGATAAAATTTTGTTGATGAGATGTGACTAGGTTTTTTCTTGGGTTTAGTTGATGGATTAATGGATCTTGGGTTTAGAAATTTTTGGGCTGTGATAGGGGAAAAACCCAAGTAGGTAGAGAGGAATTAATATATTAGATCGATTTTCATCAACCCATCCGAAAACCTATCCAATCCAATTAAAATTGCGGTTTTTTTTCGATTCTCAATTTTTTGGTTTTCGGTTTTTCAGTTATCGGTTTTTCGGTTCTGTCACCACAATTTGAATCGGTTTGGATTAGTTGATGAACACCGCTAATACATATGATATTAAAAACTTCTTATTTTAGAAAGATGAGGTACTGAGTTCAGTACCACCACCGTGGTATTCAAAAATTTTCCGATTTCTACAAACACCTTGGACTGTGGTTACTTTTCCTTTTTTAAATGTTTTTAATAATATTAATATTGTTATTTGTTAATAATTGATTAGTGTATAGAATATAGGTAATACTGTAATTATTAATTATGCGTATTCGGTTATTTTCTATAGTTAGCGCTTCATGTAAACTTTGATCAAATTCATAAAATACACCAAACATCACACATATCAATTAAACTTTGTGTATGTTATATATATACATCAAAAAAATTTTAATGAAAATTAGAATTGAATAATTACTTTGATAAGAATATATTTTATAAAATTATTAAATGGTTTACTATTATAAAGTCTTAGAGGTGTCAATTGATCCTTATATATACATAAGCCAAAAGTAATTTTTTATCGTACTGGTTTTATTTATCAGTATTTTTTAAATAGATTTAGCTGCGCTATCATACCATTTTTATTTTGTTTAAAGATTTCAAGGAGATAAAATGGCTGTATATAACTTATACATCTATCATGGGAAAAAAAAACACTTATTTGTCACATTGCCTAAGTAAGGTAATTGCCAATGTCATCTTCCACAAGGGAAAGAGTAGACCAACAACATATTGATTTCCCAAGATTTGCTGTCTTGCTGAGAAGTAACACCCCCAAAACCAAATGAACCGAGATTTAGAGTAGATAGCACAATTGTGAAAGCCAAATTGGCAAAGTAGAGAAAGGGAAAAAGTTAAACCTTAAACAGCAATGTTGCTTGTGTGAAATTTCTGTTTTTTACTTTCATCCATGTACCTTGTGCCTTAAAAGTATACAAGAACCCAAATATTTGTGAGACAGTTCCTAAAAATAAGAAGACTGTTTATCAAGTACACCCAATTGAGCAAGGCCTTTGGCAGCAAGAGTTCTCAAACGGCTATCTTTCATCTGAGTTATGTCTACCAAGGGCATTGTGGCCATAGATTTGTACTTATTTTTCACTTCATCTAGTTGAAATATTTGTTCTAAAGCTATTAGAGTTTTTTCCTGCAACCTGGTAGCTGGAAGACTCAATAGTTTTATCATTGGTGTAATAGCATTTGCATCTGCAAGTACCTTACTTCCACTCTGTAGTGCTTCACCATTAAGCAAAGTCAATAATGCATCTAAGGAAGCTTCACATGTTCCGACATCTTGCTCTGCTAGCATCCGCACAAGGGGCTCCAAAGCATTAGCCTGTAAAATGCAGAATGAAGACTCAACTGTGCAGGTGCCTAGGTGTGCTGGGCAACCAGTTTCATGGGCTATAAAGCAGCTTTTGAAAATACCCGGCTTCTTTATTGCCTTGCTCAACTGATATGAACTTTCTGAAAACTGCTTGATTGAAATGGCTGCATTTTGTTTGGAAAAAGGGGTTCCAGAAACCAGTAATTGCACCAGCACCGGGATTATGCCTTCTTCAGCTACTCTCTTCTGCCACTCCAGATTTGTTGAGACAGTAAAACGACAAAGAGCTTGAACAGAGTTCTCTATAACTTGATTTTTGTGTGAGGCATGTTTATGTTGGTCCGTAAGACTAGCCAAAATAGTTTGAACTGCCCCAGAATCTAGAAGCCACTGGGTTATGTGAGACTCCTGTGGTAGTTTAGAGATGATACCCATGGCAGTAAGCATCTCTTCTGCATCATCAGAAGCCTCAATGATGGTAAGCAATACTTTAATGAATCTTTCAGTTATATTTGATGAGAAGTTGCTGTAATCACCGTCTTCTGTCAAACAATAGAAAAGCTTCAAGGCATTTACTCTCACTGTTCGGGTATTAAGCTCTAACAAGTGGACCAATACTTTAGCAGCTGAGATCTGCATTAATTATAACACTTGTAATCAATGAATTTATTATGAAATCACTTGTATACAACGAATAATAATTATTAATACGAAAGTTATTGTTGTTGTTATTATATTATTAATGGGTTTATTGTTTCTCCTCCCGCAAGAAATAAAGTTATATCCAGCAACTCCAAAACTACATCGTTTTGATAATTGGAGGAATTAATGAATGATGTTTTGGTAATATTCATGTAACAAAAAAACAAATAAAATTCTTTAAATATCATTCATTAATTCTCTCAATCCCAAAAAATGACGTAGTTTTGGGTTATTAGAAATAATTTTATCTCCTGCAACGAGAGAATCACTTTTCCCATTATTAATACAAGTAATTATGAAAGGGGAAAATGTTTCTTATATCAGAGGAGATAACTTTATCTCAAGTAACGAAGAAATGTTAATCTCATTATGAAATCACTAGTATGAGATTACTTACAATAATAATATCATTAATACAAATACAGACCTGTCTCAATTTCTTTCTGATGGGGAAGCCAGATAAAGATTGACACAGTGCATGGAAAACTTTGAGAATCTTGTTTTGTATCTCTGGTTCCGTCAAAGAAATTAGAGAGAAGAATTTGAATATGTCTTCCTCAGAACCTAAGAGTGAAACCTGTTCTGCTTCAGCTTGTGGGTGAGTGGTTGATATGGCAAGATGCATTATTGTGGCAACAACCTGTTCAAGCAGAGTAGGTGACTGCAAACTCTGACTGTATAGCAATTCCAATAGTGGTTGAACAACACCTTCCTTAATCATCTGCAGGCCATTCTCTGGTAAGCTTGAGAGCTGTAGTAGAGCTTTGACAACCACTTTCTTGATTTCCACGTCATTATTTAAGAGCAGCTGAAGAAGAGGCAGCAGTACCCCATTTTTTACCAAGAAAATTTTCTTCTGGTCGGTCAACTCAATTTCCGACAAAGTTTCAGTCATGACTATCTTCATATTTTCTGGTCCTATATCAAGGAAATAAGTATTGACAATCAGTGAGTACATGTGGGTGCATTTTAGATTCATATTTCAGAAAGGATCACTTTCATTGAATATCCAAACTTTGTTCATTTTAGGAATAAATTCTATGTTTTGTAGTTCGGTTTTCAGTATTGAAGTTTACCGAAAGGAGTAGGAAAAAATTTACTATATTTCTACCAAAGAAGTTCACACTTTCTCTTCCTTCAAAAGCCTATATAAAGGTCTCATGTACATTGTAAAATGCATATTTTCATGTACAACACAAACTAAAAACATATAAACAACACTATATTGAACAGCATTCGTATCCTGCTTCATAGAGATCAATGTCAAATACTAAAATTGTAAGTTCCTCCCCCTACTCGAAAAAGAAAAAAAGCAAGAAACACAAAATTACGAGGTTGTTCCAAGACTACCCAATCTGCAGGGATGCTGATCAAGACATAAATCACTAGAAGTTCAAATGATGTATCTCATTCATGGAATACCTGTAGAAAGGTTCAGCAGTAAAGGCTTAAGATAATTTGCCTTTGCCATCTGTATAACATTCTGCACAAGGAAAGAGAGGTTCTCCAGCAACTCATGTGCATTTTTGGCTGCTTCAACATCATCACTGTTTAACATCGTCACCAGGAGAAGTATACTTCCTTGAATGTTTCCTACGAGATTGCACACCGTTTTACTTTTAGACAACTCCAACAGCAACTCCAATGCTAACTTGCTTTCCCCAATTTGACGTGAAAGTGAGCGAACAATTGATCCAAGTGCATTATCCACTTTAGCAATATCTTCCTGCCAGAAAGATGTATCAGTATCATTATCATGCAAAATCAATATTGTTCTCTTCAGTTTTACATGAAGCCATCTAAAAATTTGTACAGTTAATAATGAGAAGGATTCTACCTTGCTCTCTGCATTATCATGTGCAAGCACAGACAGGATGAGCAGAACACGCTTCCTTATTTCACGATTTTTAGAACCAAGAAGTCCAATAAGAACAGCAAAGTAATTCTCCATTTTTAACCATTCTCGGTGTATCTCTCTTTCTAAGCATAAGTCCTGCAATATGTCTAAGGATTGGAGCACTTCCTCTTCTTCATTTGTTTCAAGTTTGGATTTGATATTTGCAATGGTAATGATTGTGTTCCTGTCTTTCCATTCTTGAATAGACTGCTTAAGAGTCTTGTTGGGCCTTAGGATTGAAGTATCCAGAGGCAACATAGTCAAGGGACAGTGATTGTTCCCTTCAGCAAACCACTTCTCTATTGCACTTCTCTCAAATGTCTTGCCAGTAGAAGTCTCCACAGGGTCCACCATAATATCAAGAGAGATTGGGCAGTAAAATGATTGCAGAGGCATCAATGGTCTCCTTCCTAAAGAATTTCTCCTTTCAAGATACTTCTTTTCCTTCTCTTGTGCTGAAGTTATGGAATCAGCCTTTTCAAGTACTGCAATAATCTGCTCCATATGTAGAGCTTCCCCCGTATCCTTCCTAGACTTGGCTTTTTCCATTTCATTTTTCAGCTCTTCAAATTCTCTCTTCAAAGAAGCATGCTCTATGGAGACCCCAATGGCATCTGCAATACAAGCTAGCAACTGATTTGCAAATGATCGATCAACATTTCCCTCTTGTATTGCTATCTCAATTTTTTCCAAGATTTTTTCATCGGCTGCAGCTGTTTCGTACTCAGCATCTAACATGTTCTGGCACAACTCACTTATCAGTTGATTTAAACCAGAGTTAATGTCCAAAGAAGCCAGAGCGATAAGGCTTACTGCTCCACTTATATCTTTCACACAACACTTCAAGCGTGTAACAATCCTTCTGGAATTGATTAAAAGATAAACCTTACTTCTACTGCTGCACTCAAAAACCAGCTGCTTAGCAACTTTAACCTCTCGGTTGAGAACATTCACAGCATTTTCCAAGCTCTCAGGATTGTGCATGCCTTCCTTTGATAAAGACTTCAATATAAATGAGATCTTTTCCAAGTGAATAGAGAATTTCTTGAAATTTTCCTTATGAATAGCAACCTCATTGGCCGCTTTGACAGTATCAAATATAGCAAAGATGGTCTGGGAAAGCAACTGAGATGCTGGGATGAGTGAGGCATTAACCAATAATTCCTTCGCCATTTCATTACCTCAGCTTTGTTCAAAAACCAAAACTCATATTCCGATCAAGCATGAAAAAAATAGAAACCTGACCAGAAAAGTGGTGAAATCAACAACACATAATTAATTCTTCTTATCAGTACATCACACATAAACATAAATTTTCATCCGATCAAGTGATTCATATCTAAAGCTCAAGTTCACAAATCACAACTACCTGGACCCATGTATGGGTGAAACAAACAACATTGGTGAGCTGAGAAATAAGGTCAATTGAGCTGAATGAACAGAACAAAACTCACAACTGAGAAAATTGATGATTTTATATATCTCAACACATCCCCTCACACGAGAGCCCACTGGGCTTGAAGGGTGGACAATGCACAAGTTCACCTACCTGTGCGAAGAAAGAAATTCCACTAGAAAGAAAGTGGGGGCGGTGAGGTTCGAACCCGTGACACGAGGCTCTGATATCATGTAAAGAACCAATTCAACCCAAAGCAGTAATGAAATTCATGTTCAATTGACCACAACCACACAAAAAATGAAATTCATGTTCAACTGCTCACCCCCCAAAGCAGTAATGAGGAAAGAAAGCATGAAGTCAGTAAGATTTCTGATTTGATGCTAAGAAAATATAAGCTAAGAAAAATGAACCAAAAAAAAAAAACAAAGACTCGTAGCAATTGAACAGAGAAATACAGGAACTAACCCCGAGTGTTCCAGTTTTGGCACAATTCCCCTGAAAAAATAGCTGAGAAAAAGAAAAAGAAGAAGAAAATCAAATCAAATAATAATGGGGTGCGGAGAATAGAAAGGGAAATAGAGTTTATTATGAAGAAGCCTTTAAAGTTGGAAGCTGAAACTGTTTTCTCTGTGGCTCTTGAGTCTTGACCTTTTCTACGTTCCTTAGTCCTCACTCGGTTTTGGTTGACTCGTGCTATATTGGTAATAATAAGTTACAACTTAAAAATCGAACCAGTCAAAAACTCAAAACGTAGCAAGTAGCATTGCATAATTTATGAGAAAAATTATGCGATCAATCGAACTATCAGGTTTTGCCACGTCATTATTATAGGACTGACTGTTGATGATGAAATATGCGGTGAGGATTTACCGTATAACGTACACCGTTGAACTGTACAACTTGGACTCGCAGTTGCAGTGGAGACTCCGTTAAAAGTTACAGGGTCTTCGGTGAAAGTGGCGCCAATTGCAACAACGGTTAAACTTAAACATCACCTTTGTTTTTGTTTTCTTTAAAGCTTCGAAAGAAAAATTATCAATGTTTGTGAGTTGTGACTTATCTAACTATTCATTTCTTTAACATATTTTTTCTCCTGTAAGTTTTAAGTACATATCCTCCTCATATTTTTCCCATCCCCAGATTTTTTTTTTTCATTTTAATTTGAATTCTAAAGTTTTAAAATGCAAATATTTTTAACGAAAAACCCAAAACTGAAAAAAAAAAATGAATAAATCATTTTTAGCAATTAATTGGTGGTGATTATTTTGGATATAATGTTCTGTTCATTCAGCTCACCCCAGTATAGTCATTTGTCTCAATTGAGCAATATGAAGAATATTAGGGTTCGTGGCGATTAGTATTACCACTCTGCAACAAAAAAATTCACAGCTTGGTAGGTGTGAATATGATCCTGATCTGAAAGTGATATATTATGACCCATATTTAAAGCGTTCACGGTAAAAAAAATTATCTCCAAAATAATATTTTAGTCAATAAAGGTTGCATTTCGCTTCAGTCATATTATTTATCCAACTTCTTTGCAAATTGATCTTAAATAACCAATTAAAAGACCTTGTTGTCTCACAACTTTCACATGAGTGGAATAGGTTGATAAAATTCGATGACAATCCAACTGTTCATTTGGGAGAAATGACTCTCACAAAATTGATGTTCACTGCAGAAACATCCAAGAGAACTGTTCCGGTTTTGAATTATCTAGGAATGATATAGACATCAAATCAAGAAATTCACTGTTTGCTAAAAAAAATTTAGCTCGATCCGAAGGTGAATGAAGAAAATATTACGACTGGAACAAGTCCTACTCAAAATTGTTATTTTTCCTGAAATGGTCCCCTTCCTTTTTTCATCTATTTGATAGCTCTCTTCCTTTTTTCTTATTAAAGGACAAAAATATATGTTCATAATTTATTTTTATTTTTTAAAATATTTAAGACAAAATTGAGGGTTATATATCTTTTACGATAAATGTTGCCCATGTATGATTTCGTTTTTCTATCACTCGCAAGATGGATCTTGAGTGAAGAGTCTGAAGACACAGGGAAAGCATTGTTTACAAAATAAGTCCAAACATCATTTATTTCAAAATATATATATATATATAGAATAATATTTTTATAATTATAGGGTTAGGATATAGGGTTAGAATAATATTTTTATAATTATTACAGATAAATTATCTGTTTTGACTTCCATGATGACAACTCACAAACATAAATAATAATAGTATTTATCTCTACTTTTTATGCTCATCTATCCAGATTCCAGAACAAAACAAAATTCAGTGTACATAATAAAATAAAAAATAGCATATGACTCCATGATTCCATGATCCATCCGGTTCCACTCTACCCGCTTGATAATCCTTTGATTCCATTCTACCGCTTAGCTTCCAATATCACAAGAAGACAAAAATACAGATAATCCTTCGATTGCACTCTACCGGCTTGATTTGCATAAATATTGTAATTGCCCACGATCATGAAATGAATAAAATGATGTCTTCTTATTTAATGATGTCAATTTTTCTGTGTACAAAAACCCCAAATTTGTTTCAGTATTATTATTATGATTGCTGCTACAGAGAAGAGAAGAGAAAGGGGAGGAGAGGAGAGAGAAAGGGTGAGGGGATGGGAGAGAAGATGCTGTAAAAGGGTTGATTTTATACTATAAATATTCGTCGTTGGATTAAATTGTAATCTAACGGTGTTGAGAGAAGTAGGCAAAGGTAGACAAACTAAGAGTAGGCAGAATAACCTACCTCATATATATATATATATAGGGCAAGATCCTTTAACACCGGTGTCAAACTTTAAAATTTGATACCAAATCCTAACTATTGATTTCTGTCAATCAACAGTTATCATTTATTGAGAATTACACTTATTAATTAATCATTAATTGTCAATAAATGATAACCGTTGATTGACGAAAATCAACGGTTAGGATTTGGTGTCAAATTTTAAAGTTTGACACCGGACACATGTTTACAAATCAGAGTCGTTGATCTTTTTTGATCAAACGGCTCTCAGATGAGGTGTCAAATTTTAAATTTGACACTGGTGTGAAAGGATCCTACCTCATATATATATATATATATAAAGGAAAGAGTGTGTCATTTTAAAGGATGTAAAGTTGTGTCATTTTAAGAGAGAGAAAGAGATAGATAAAGGAGAAGAGAGAGTTGACAAAAAAATAAAAATATGGGTCCCACCTCTTTGTGAGAGTGAAAGGATATAAATTGTGTCATTTAAAAAGATAAACACTATTCTCGTATATAAAATGTTTAGATAATGTTAGCTCGTTCGAGGTAAACTATTTTCATTTCCATTTTCTAGCTCCACTGAACTTGTGTTATGCTACCTAGCTAGCTCAAAAGTTACTCTGACGAGACAATATAAGCATCTATAATGGTTAATGATTTCACTCTCTTTATAGCTTCTTTTATAAATTTACATGAAAGATTGTTTCCAAACTAGCTGCTGCTTTTTTATTTCTTGAGAACAAACACGGAATAAGTGTAAGTGTAAGTGTAACTTTAACCCAAAAGAAGAAGAAAAAAATGCAGGATTAAATTTAAGATATCAATGGTTGTTAATTTGCGTTATTGTCCTGCGTTTCACCATCATTTAGTTGGTGGCACTTTTCTTAGCGGTAAACCTGCAGTACTGCTGCCTCTTTATTTATTTTTTGACTCTATCAGCATTCGAACAAGGACTATTATGGTGTTGTCCTCCAACAAGCAACAACTACCATATTGACCATGAATGAACAACGACACTCCTTAGGCCAGAATTCTAGTTAAATTTGAAGCCCAAAAGTGTCCCTCAAATTCAACGAGTGCCCATGCGAGAGGCAAAAGCCACCAATGCAATTGCCCAGTCACTATTCAGTTTAATCCAACCAAGTTTCGGTCCACACCAGCCTAATAATAGCCTATGTCGCACCAAACTTTATTTTAATCTTAGTTAAATCTGATTAATATTTTTTTAGTAAGCTAAGAGGGCTAGAAGCCCAAAACACAAGAAAATTACAAAGGCGCAATTGCGGGGTTCATTTATAAAAAAAAAAACAAAAAAAACAAAAAGGGTTGATGGAATGTTTTTTTGTATTTGCAGGAAACTTTTAATTAAAAAAATTCATTTTTTCTGTAGTTACTGTAGATAAGTTATTTGCAGTAAGTTCAATACGATGTCGTTTTAGGGCGGAAATCATAGTATTTTTGTAATTTTAACTTATTTCAGAATTATTATAGTCTTTATAATTATAATTTTTTAATATTTCAATCTCGAAATGACATCGTTTTTGGAATAAATGCAAATAATTTATCTGTAAAAATATTTTTCTCACTAAAAAATTCAATAAGATAAAATTAGGCTGATTGCAGATATCAACAGCAGCATGAAATTCCTGAGGCATCTGCGGGAAGGTGATCATATCAACTCCCTGGAATAGAACTCTCCTCGCAAATCAAACTGCGCAGTTATTGCTTTCACGGGGAACGTAGTTAAACCAATGTCTCTGTTTTTTTTTTTTTTTATAATGCAATATGAGTAAATTTAATTTGGCTTGCCTTTAATTTCGATTAACTAATATATCATGCACTATGCAGTTGATTTTAAATTTAAGTACAATTTTAAAAAATAAAAATAAAAATAAAATATTTTAAAGACTTTTCTTGAAGTTCCAAATATTTAAAATTTAAGTAAAACATACTTGTGGCCTTTGTTAAATAATTCCAAATTTCTTGTAATGTAAAACACTCTCAATTAATTCATACTTATTAAATATTTTTCTATAATTAAATAAGGTAATGTACCAAAATAAAAGGTAATAACATTTTATTAATTATATTTAAATCTTGTGGATACTGATTTTGAGATAGATTAAATTTAAATCCAACATATTGTTGTTAATACTTAATAGGATAGCATAAATTAATTCTTTAATATCAAATTCTCCAATTTTACATCATTAAAATACAATAAAAAATATTGATGTTTTTAAAGATAGAATAAAACTTCTGAAAAAATTCTTTTGTATTTACTATTTATAACTAGTTAATGTAAATATTTTCTATCAAATAATTAATTAAGGAAGAGAAAAATTTTATAATAAGAATATTAAAGTAAGTGATTTTCTTAAGAAAATATTTCTTCTACATATTGATAATTTTATTTTAAATTTCATGATTTTACCCAAGGTAGAAGTTCAAAATCTACTGATAATTTATGCCTAACAAATAATTATTGGTTCTATTGATAAATAACTTATTCCTCTCACTCAAATGTCTCAAGTTTGACCATGTCTTGAGTTTAAGTATTGAATATGAAGAAAATAATCTTGAAAGAGGTACCTCTATATGAGTTTGATAGATCTTGAATCAAATTAGTTGAATTTTTTATTAACAGGTTGAGAAAAACAAAAAAGCTTGAGACTACTTGAGGTGAGGATCTCAATAGTTTGGCTTTTTTACTCTTATAACCCTTTATTATTAATTAATTACCGACTATCACGTGCTCTGCCTTTGCAACTTTTTTGGGTCTGTAAAGCACACAAATATTTTTCAATGATTATTTCAGAAAGAGAATTCTCAGTTAACAGTATAAATCCACAACCACAAACCTTGTCCCATGCATGTCTTCCC